CGAAATCAGACTGATTATGTTATGCGATGTATGGAAGTGAGAGCTGGACCATAAAGAAGGCTAACCGCCGAAGAATTGATGCTTTTGAATTGTGGTGCTGGAGGAGACTCTTGAGAGTCCCCTGGACTGCAAGAAGAACAAACCTATCAATTCTAAAGGAAATCAACCCTGAGTGCTCACTGGAAGGACAGATCCTGAAGCTGAGGCTCCAATACTTTGGCCATCTTATGAGAAGGGAAGACTCCCTGGAAAAGACCATGATGTTGGGAAAGAGTGAAGGCAAGAGGAAAAGGGAATGATAGAGGACAAGATGGATGGACAGTGTCACCAAAGTTTCCAACATGAATTTGACCCAACAGGGGGCAGTGGAAGACAGGAGGGCCTGGCGTGCTCTGGTCCATGGGGCCATGAAGAGTCGGACATGACTTAACGACTAAACAACAACAACAATTTCTCTGTATGATGGCTTAAATGCCTGATTTGTTTAAGACATACCTTTTTCATCCATATGTAAATTCTGTTGATAACCTAAAAACAAACATACAATATGTATGTTACTGTGAAATAATTATTTTACTTAAGTGTCATTTAAAGTCACCTTAACACACTTCCTCCATTGTTTTCTCACCAGCAACGGAACGCAGGTCATCAGCTGTTACAAGTGGTTCCTGAAAGTCCTCCAGAGAAACAAAAACAGCTGTTTCAATGCAGATCATGTAGTAACTGGAATATCTGGAATAGTTGGAAGATCATATATGTTTAAATGTGACAAACTTCACATGTATGGAAATATTGTCAACATAATGTGGTACAAGGTATTACTTAAAAACATTTTTTAAATTATACAGTGGAGAGGTAGATTGTTTTAAATCAAGCTGTAATGTGCTACCTGATGAAGTGGGGTAAACATCCAGAGCAACAGTTCTGATCATGCGATATAACAGAATAGTCTGTTCGTTGCTGTTACTTCCAACAATTAAAAATAGGTCAGAACTGTAAAAGCCTTATTATGTAAAAATGAAGAGAAAGAAACTTGTTGCACAAGTTCTATATTGGCGAGGCTTCTACCAAGAAGGCCCTAAATCTTGTTTCTATGCACCTGATCTCATAAATGCACCCAGCAGGACTTACAAAACTGACTTCAGAGGGCAGAGAATCATATGGAATTTGGTTCTTATGTGTTCTAACTTTAAGTCTTTAAATTTGAAAAGGTTATTGTTATCATCCTGGAGATTTAAGTGAGGTACGTTTTTCTGGATAGACTGTGGGCCTGATGAGCTTATTAATAATTATGGTTTTAATAGTTACACATAGTATGAAATTTAATAGTTTGAAATAATTTTGGAGGTGGGAGCTTTTTTCACTTAATATTCACTTAAAATATGCAATGCAGAATCTGAATCCAATTCACATGGAAAACGAATCTTGTGTTTTAAATTTTATATATAAAATGGTCCATGCAGATCAAGGCAGGCTCTGCCTTCGACAAGTTATATGCATTAGCTGTCAGGCTGTGGAAATGTTAATTTTTTGGACTGCATCTCCCAGAATCCCTCAGCCAACAAGGCTAGTGGCTGTGCAGGCCTCAGGATTTGGAAATTGTAGTTTGATAAAGCAACATTAATCACTTACTGTCAATTTCTTTTGAACCAAATAATTTTACGAGCATAATGACTTCAGCAGAATCGAGTAGCTAGTTTAATCCCTGGGGAAGGAACCAACAGCCTCCCATTTAATGATGTATATATTTGGAAGAAATGTATGGCAGTGGTATAGCTGAAAGAGTCTTGTTTTGTACTAATAATGTTGCTTTGGTATAAATATAGTAGATTACTCAGTATAAGATAGTGGGCTGGATAAACAAAATATGGGGTAGAATTTGCAGGAGCTTCTCACAGCTGTTGTCTATAATGCCTAATAATTTGACCACAGTTGTGAGCTATCCAGAAAAGTTACCTTGCTTAGTATTTCCAGATGGAACCAATAACTCTATATTTAAGAATCCTGTTCTCATAGACCAGTGGTTCCCAACCTTGCATCCCCAGATGTTCTTGAACTGCAACTCCTAGAAATCCTGGCTAGCACAGCTAGTGGTGAAGGCTTCTGGGAGTTTCAGTCCAGGAACATCTGGGAACCCAAGATTGGGAACCACTGCCATAGACCATTAAACTTTACAGCCTGTACTCTGGTGTTGATGTAATTTCTAAGCAACCAATAGAGTCATTTCTTACCACCAATAGAGAAAGTTGTGGAAACAACTTGCAGAACTTGTTTCCAGGACTTTCTCTATTTTTGGTATAAATCAATTGTACTGAATATGATAAGGATGCTGCCACCTAATCCTAGCTTCTAAGAAATGTAACAGTGGTCTTCACTGCTAGCTCGCAAGCTAGGGCCTCAGAACATATGGCTGAGTGGGTGATCAATTATTAGTGAAGAGATTCATGTCATAAAATCTGTTCCATAGAATGCTGTGATTCCAAAAGATCTGCTGTATGGAGAATTAGTGCAGGGAAATCGCCCCAGAGGGAGACCACAGCTGCGATACAAGGATATCTGCAAGCGGGATCTGAAGGCCTTGGAAATGGATCTCAACAGATGGGAAACCTTGACATCTGAGTGTTCAGCCTGGAGGCAGGCGGTGCATCACGGTCTCTCCCAACTTGAAGAGAGCCTTGACCAGCAGGCCGAGGCAAAGAAGCAGTCATGAAAGCAGCAAAATCAGGGAGCTAGATGGGGTGCAGATTGTATTTGTCTTCAGTTTGGAAGGGATTGTCACTCTCAAATTGGCCTTCTCAGCCACACTAGACACTGTTCCAAGTCCTCCATAAAGAGCACAATACCGTAGTCTCTCAAGACTGAAGGGTGCCTAATCGTATGAGGATGATCTGGTATCAGAATTTTGATCTCATTTAGAGTTGTTATTCTGGTGCATCTAGAAAGTTTGTGTTACTTTGATTCATCAGCTAATTGATATTTCCTTAATTGTTCTTTGTGACACTAAGGATGTTTTGAGAAAGCTGGTTTCCAACAGTAATGTCTAGATTGCTCATTTCACCTAATAGGAATGTGAAATGTGCTGTATAGATTTGAAGCTATGTTTGTAACAGGGGTGCCTTGTTTGTAAAGCATCCACTGATGTTAGTGGAGTAGTCCTTGGGCTTCTTTACTAAGGAAGTCCAACAATGCTCAAAGATACTTGCTCCTATATGTATAAGTGGATGATATTGGCCTGAGAATCCGTAATTTCCCCCCAGTTAACTGGAATTGGGTGGAATATCTAGCTATTCCCCATGATAAAAAAAATAGCAAACTGAAAACAATTACTTGATTAATGGGTCTGCAGATTTGAAGTGGGGGTATGAATGGCTTATAGCTTGGCTTGTGTATTTGTTCATGTTTTGGCTTTGGAGGTTTTGTGGCAGTCTTAATTCCCCTTTGAAATTCTTACAAGCAGAACTGTACCAGGATTGTAAACCAAACGGAGGAAGAGTGGCACATTAACCAGTTAAAAGCTGAAGATGCTGGGAAATATACTTGTGTGGCATCATTCTTTCATGGACAAAAGATATACAACAGCACACATACAATAAGCCTAACAGTGAAAGGTAAGGTGAGGTAAAAATACCAAGTGAAGCTGGTCAGGTCTGGCTAGGGTTTGGAAAAGTTTTCTTATGTTTTGATTCATTTACAGCTCCAAGGATCCCCCAGTCATATATCCACTGTAGCTCACCACCGCCACCAAAAAACCCGAACCTTACAATATTTCCAAGCTCTGGTTTTGGTATACTCAATAATACTGAGATCTATCTTTTCACATATTATATTAGATATAATATACTGTGTATTAAATACCATATTGAAAGACAACAAGAAAATGAGTTGTAAAAATTCTTCTAATTTGTTGTAAACACCTTCACTCATATAAGGAGCTTAGAAAAAATTCTGTGTGCATAGCTTAGAGTGGAGGACAATAGAGATTTAGGGCAAAAAAGAGGCATTACAGATAATCCATCATTAGCAAATCCGTCATTTGAAGTATTCAGAGTGATTGCACAGGAGATTTTTTTCAACTCACATAATTCGCAAACTAACATGCTTTGTTTTGTGAGTGGGGTCCATCACTTAAACATGAGATTTTGGGAACTTCAATATCTGCCTGAGTCATGACTCTAATCACGGGCCATTTGTAACATCTGTTGCTGCCCGTAGTTGCCTGCCCCTAACCCAGAAGTTGAAATTCTGTTGCTTAGCATAGTGAATTGTAGTAAGAATAGGCCCATTGAATTTGTGGAACCTATGGAGGAGCTGACTCACCAAATCCTCACTGATTCATTGGGCCTAGTCTAGTTGAAGTGATTTACTATGCTAAGCAGGATTTCATACAGAATGTTGAAGAATGCTGTGTCCTTTACTAGAAGCAGGATACTTTTTGGGTTCCAAATCAATTCAGGTAGTGCCTGCGTTGTCTAAGAGATCCTGGAAATTGTAGTGTGAGAGAATAACTTTTTCCAGCTTGGGTATTTTTGATCTTGCAGAATTCCATGGGAAACATATCCCAGAATGATCAATGTCTGTGTCTTTTTGTAGGCATATCAGCAGCCTACAAGAAGAATTGCAGTTTTTAATGGATTGACCAGCTTATTTCAAAAATATATATTTTAGTTTATAAAAAAACTCACTTCTGATTAATGGAATCATTTGTTGCTAGACTGGAACTTGAGTTTCAAATAAAGTTCTTATTCCTCTTCCAGGTGCTGAGGAAAGCACAAGACCAATGCTAATTGGACCTCATTATCAAGTTTACAAAACAGAAATAGGTATGTCTTACTGTTTCTTCTAACAGTGTGGTGTTGTGTACATCACATTTGCTTGTATGTATTATCACATTTAGCAGGTACTTTCACATTTGTCCCAAACTGAATAGATGTCAGAGACATACCTACAGGACCAGACTAGAGTATTCAGACATTATATTTATTGATAGACAGAGGATGATGCGTGAGCCACATGTTGGTTGAAATTATGCCATGTAAGACTGATAATTTCATCAGTTACAGAGGTTTTTCTACATTCAAAGGGCCTACCCTGCAGATATTTGCACTGTTATGAATGGTGGAATGCAGATCTACTCATATACTTTTTTTGATAGTAAAAATAACACCAAGGCAGGCCTTTTGAGGGTTGTAGGAAAGTTTTTTGCAGGAATTATGTTGTATTATGATTTAATTATAATCTGTTAATCATTCTGTAGCCATAAGTGAGACTGCATACCTTAGTTGAAAATGGGTTAAAAAATCAGTTCAAAAATGTTAGTTTTAATTTTCATTAAATTTTAATTTCCAAACTGCATATGAAAATGGGTTAAAAAATCAGTTCAAAAACGTTAATTTTAATTTTCATTGTCTTTTCTTTATTATGTTTGCCATCCCAATTTCCAAACTGCATAAACATGAGGTTTCCAAGCGTTACTACCATGAGCACGAGACTATTTATTAAATAAAAAAGCATTATTTTTACATATTAAACAATAATATGAGTTACACTGCACAAACCCTAGCTGGCTGGATAGCTCAGTGAGTTTCAGCACCTGGCAAGAAGAGCCAGGAGTCGGCAGTTCAATTCCCCACATAGTAATGCATAGTAAACCACTTCTGAGTACTCTGTACCTAGACAACTCTAGCAAAGGTCACATAAGTAAGAATCAGTCTGACAGCACATAATGATTGAAGAGTCCCTATGGTGCCCCTTGTTAACATGAAATAATATATCTTATTGAACAAGCAAGTTATGGAGATGTTCAGCCTTTCAAAATTCAGTATGGTAATCGAAGAGCTTGATCAGATAGGCTGTTTGGTGCACTTCACGGGCAGATTGATCAGACAACCTGCTTTTTTTGATGCACTCTAGTTGGTATGTTTCCAGTGCTTGGAATCACTGGAAGTGGACCAAAATAGAGCCTTGGAGCTGTCAGAGCTTTCAAGGCTCCTTCTCCTGTAAATTTTTGGTATCGTGAAGTGGCTTCATAAGTGAGCCACTTCAGGATATCGGCAAATTGAACACTTCTCCTGCTCCTCTATGAAGATGCAGAGGAAGTGATATTGTTATATTTTTGCCTCTGCTAGACCATTGCTGATGCACTGAATGACTTAGATTATTTTTTTAAAAAATATTTTCTTTGCCTTATGTGAAGGGCTGATTAAAGCCATGGCTGCAGGCAGTTTCTCAACGGGAATTACACAGACTACAAAGAAAATGTATTTTTTAATTTAATCCAAACAATTTGGCACATCAGCTGTGGTCTAGCAGAGGCAATATTAATAGTAATAACAATTTAACTTCTCCTGCGTCTCCATAGAGGAGCAAGGGAAATATTCAATTGTCCAATATCCTGAAGTGGTTTGTTTTTTAAGCCACTTCACAATGCTCGAAAATTAACAGCAGATGGAGCCAGACTAAAAAAGGGTTGCTTGAGGATGGTATGCCATTTCAATGCAAGGATATCACCAAAGGCCATATTGCTGCTTCTCATGACCTCTGGTAAACTGATTTAAACTGC